TTGGATGAGATAGCTTGATACTGGAGCAATGGGAGTTGGTGAGTTAGAATTAGTGAGACTGGCTCAGGACAGGGAAGGGTTCAGAGCTGCTGTACATCACAGGTGACTCAACCAATAACGTTCTATGACAGGTTTGGAAGCAGGAGTGGAATCTACTTCCTAAATAACATGCCTCCAGAAACTCTGTAAACTTTGATAAATGTTGATAGTTGTAGAGGGGCTTCATGCCTTTTTTTTCATAGGGTTGGTATGTCTCGTGCTCCAACTGAGGGCAATCAACAACAACAATAGCCAGTGATTTTGAGCATGTGTCTGTTGGCCATCTGAATATCTTCTGTGAAAAAATCTTTCCATGTCTTTTTCCTATTTTGGAATTGTGTTGTCAGTCTTTTTCTTATGGAGGCCGTGTAGGATTCTGTAATCTTTTGCTATGAGACCATTGTCTGAAATGGTATTGCCAAGTATGCTTTCCTAGTCAGTAGATTTTTTCACTCTATTGGAAAATGTTTTTGATGCATACAGGGATTTAATGTTTAGAAGGTCCCATTCATCAATTTTATTCTCTCCAGATTGTGCATTTCTGGCTGTATTTGGCAGTCTCTTTATACCACAGACTAAGCCGTCTAAGCTTGATCCCAGCATGCCCCTGATGAGCTTTATGGTTTTGGGCTTATTCCCAGGTCTCTGATCCACCTTAAGTTTTATGTGTGGGGTGAGATGTGGATCATGTTTCAGCTCTCTGCAGGAAGCAATCCAGTTATGCCAGCACCATTTGTTGAAAAGGTTGTCATTTCTCCATTTGATAGGTTTTATTTCCTTGTTGAATATCAGTTGACCATAGATAACTGGGTCCATTTCTGGGTTCTCAGTTCTGTTCCATTGGTGCATGTACCTGTCATTGTACCAGAACCATACTGTTTTGGTTACTACTGCTGTGTAGTAGGTTTTGAGGTCAGGGAGTATGTTTTTCAGAAGTGCTTTGCTTGTTCTGGGTTGCATTCCTCTCCAAATAAACTTGACAAAGTCGATCTCTTTGAAAAATGAATTTGGTATCTGTATTGGAATTTTATTGAACGTGTAGATTGCTTATGGTAGGATTGTCATTTTCACTATATTGAGTCTTCCTATCCATGAAAAGGGAACATTTTTCCATTTATTTATATCTTTTATTGTGTCTTGCATAAATGTTCCATAGTTTTCTTTGCATAGCTCTTTTGTGTCTCTAGTTAGATTTACTTCCAAGTATCTCAATTTGTTGTTGGCTAGTGTTGCTGCTTTCTTGGTTTCTTTCTTTGAGTTTTCTTTGTTACTGTAAAGGAATCCCCCTGATCTTGGATATTGATTTTATATTCTGCCACTCCACTAACTTGGTCTACTAGCTCTAACAGTTATTTTGTTGAGAACTTGAGGTTTCTTGTATACACTATTATATCATCTGCGTATAACTACAGTTTAACCATCTCTTTACTGACCTGGATGCCTTTTATTTCCTTCTCTTGTTGTATTGCCCTAGCAAGTATTTCCAATACAATGGTGACTAAAAGTATATAACTTGATGACACTTCTTGTTGTTGTTGTTATGTGCCGTCGAGTCGCTTGAGACTCATAGCAACCCTCATACAACAGCCCTAAACTCTGCTCTGTCCTGTGCCAATCGCACTGTCTCTGACACTCCCATCCCAATTATCCCAGTCACTGAATCAATCCACCTCATAGAGGGTCTTCCTCTCCTGCGCTGTCCCTCCAACCCTCCCAAGCATGATGTCCTTCTCCAAGGACCGGTCTCTCCTCACAACATGTCCAAAGTATGTCAGACAGAGCCTCAGAATCCTTGCCTCCAAGAAGCCACCCGGTTTAACCCTTTCCAGGACAAATCTGTTTGTTTTCCTAGCAGTCCATGGTATTCTCAATACTCTTCTCCAGCACCACAGCTCAAAGGCATCAATTCTCCTTCTATCATCCTTGGTCATTGTCCAACTCTCTGATGCATAACAAGTGATTGTGAAGACCATGGCCTGTATCAGATGCACCTTAGTCTCCAGAGAGACACTATTGCTCTTCAGTACTTTGGAGAGGTCCCTAACAGCAGACTTTCCCATGGCAATGTGCCTTTTAATTTCCTGGCTACTGGTGCCAAGAGTGTTGCCTGTGGAGCCAAGCAAACTAAAGCTGTGTACAGTCTCAATCTTAACCACTGCTAAATGAAACTAGTGCTTTTATATCTGGAGGAACACTCTTCCACTTTGTACATCACTCTTTGTCAATGTACAGTATGAAGTAACCTGGGTTGCTCTGATGCTGCACCTTGTACCATTGGAGTATCAACTACCAGAATGGTTTCCCAATGTGGACAGTGTTTCATGGAGCTCCCAGTTGTAAAACAGGTTTGGAAGCAGGAGAGGCATCTACTTCCTAAACCACATGCCTCTGGAAACTCTATGAACTTGGAGAAATGATAATAGTTATGGAGAGTTGCTATGAGTTGTGCTTGACTCGATGGCAATCAACAACAACAAACAAAACAGCCATTCTTATAAAATAGGACAGACATGGAATGGCTGGTGAGAGAATGGGGAGTGCATTAGAACAGATAAGGGAAAGAGCTGTCTGAAAGAAATATATGATTATGCATTATATGTATGAATATAATCTGGAACAAGGGGTGCCCTGGCAGGAGGAGAAGAGAATGTGCAACAATAAATAAATATTTTAAAAAATAATTATATGTAAAAAGTGTTTAATAGAAAATTATTTAGACTATACTTCTAGGTGAAAAGTGCAGTCCATTGTCTGTGTCTTTCTAACATCAGTTCTGTCTTCTCTGACATTAACTGCAAATGCAGCTTCAGACCTCAATCACCTGGAGCTAGGTCAGTTCTCAGAAATGAAAATGTACAGTCTTCTAAATGCTATATAGTCTCCCTAAGGCTTTAGATCTCTTGATCTGCTAATGCCATATTTCATGGATTCTTACTAACCCCCTGATATATTATCATTGGCTAGAAATGACTCACAGAATTAAGGAAAGCTCTATATTTAGGATTGCAGTTTTATTTTACAAAATATAAATCAGGATCAAAATAAAAGGATTACTAGGGTGAAGTCTGTAGGCAGTTAGTAAGAGAGTCTCAAATGCAGAGATCTTGTGTGTTTTGATGCTTTAAGCTCTTGTGCATCAGTGTCTTTCATCAGTCAAAAAGCTTCCCTTTATGTCACTGTCCAGAATTTTCGTATTTTTCCACACCATAGGTCTCACATATTTATTAGTGTAGCTGAAAACCTAGATGCATAAAAACACATGGCTCCCAATGGAAGTGATCAAATTGTGACATAATTTTAAGTTTGATATGGTAGCATGTCAGTCCACTTGACATGGTGCAATATTAGTGAACCTAGGTTTATTAGGTGTGCTGCCTTCATGTGTGTGACTCCTTAGAGACCCACCTTGTTTCTTTTCCTTTGTTCTCCTCATGGGGTTGTACCTGATTTTGTTGCCAGTTTTCATTCTAATTCATTCAGGAATGAGACAGTTCTACTTTTGTTTCTTGGTTAGGAACCTCTTCATCCTAAAAGTCTTATGAGAAGACAAAGTGCATGTAACAGGGCCGTGCTCAGTATGGTAGCAGAGGAAAGAAGAGTCTAGAGTTTGTAAGGAGGTTTCAGGAAACAAGCATACTTGATTGAACTCACCTGTACATTCTAGCTCATTCGCCAGTTCCTCTTCCCTCCATGGCATCAGGCTGATAAATGGGTAGCTATTTCTGGCAAGGCCACCTCCCACTCAACATGACTCACCTCATTAACATAACCTTACTTGTGATCTAGGGCTCCTCCAATTGCTGAAGAAATTTCAAGGGTTTATAGGTACCTCCCAGGAACTGGGGATAACAACCTAATTTCTGGGATAAAATTATAACCCACATGCAGAACAGAGACAACTACAATCTTATCACAGAATATGTACATGCATAGAAAATGAAATATATGTATACATCAAAATGTTATTATGTGCCGTCAGTTCACCTGTGACTCATAGCAACCCTTTGTCCAACAGCCCTAAACCCTGCTCTATTCTGTGCAAATCTTACTGTCTCTAACACACCTACCCCCATTACTCCAGTGAGTGAATCAATCCATCTCATCAAGGGTTGTCCTTTCTTGCACTGACCCTTGCAATATTTAGGAAGTATATCAGATGAAACGTCAGAATCCTTGCCTCCAAGGATCAGCCTGGTTTCACCCTCTCTAGGTTGAAACTGTTTGTTCTCTTAGCAGTCCATGATATATTCAAGACTCTTCTCCTGCACCACAGCTCAAAGGCCTCTATTATCCCTAGTCATTTTCCAGCTCTCTGATGCATAGCAAGTAATTGGCAAAGACTATGGCCTGGGTCAGGCACACCTTAGTCTCCAGACTGACTTAAAAAAAACCACCAAACCAAAAAAATCCCTCTTCAAACTTACTACCTGGAGTCAGCTGCTACTCATAGCATATTGAGTTCCCAAGGCAGATGGGAGGCCACCCATCTTTCTTCTTTGAATCCACTGGTGGATTTGAAACACCAGTAACACTCAGCCTAATATCTAAAAAAAAAAGGTGCTATCAAGTCTATTTTAACCCCTGATGACTCTGTAGAGTAGAAGTGCTTTCCATGTTTCCAAGGCTGTTCGTCTTAACAGAAGCAGACAGGCCCATCTTTGTCCTGTGAAATGACCATTAAGTTTGAATTGCTGGCCTATTTGTTGGCAGCCAGGCACTTCAATACCATGTCATAGTAGGCTCCCTGGTCATCTAAAGATTGTAATTAAGGGTGATTTTTGTGTTATTTTTAAGTCTTTATATTCTACATTGAAAGAGTATTGCTTTTATAATGAAAAATGTTTTTTTTTAAAGACTGGAAAAGAATTTAGAAAAGTTGGAATAAACTAACATGACTTAGAACTGCAGATTCCATTTGTAAGGGCCATTTATCTGACTTACTTTGCTTTCCTTGTCCTCAGGGTGACACATCTGGAGACTACAAGAAGGTACTGCTCATTCTCTGTGGAGGGGATGATTAAAACAAAATCCACAAAGGCTAAGAAGATCTTCCAACACTTTGATTTTTTTTATGCCCTGCTATTAGCATTATCTCAAAAATCCTTATTTTCAATTTTAATGCCCACAGTTTCTGTCTAGGATGTAGACTATTATTATTCATCTATAATTAGTCATTTTGATGCTTTAAAGCTGTACTTGCATTTCAACGCTTATAAAACATGAAAGGAAAATGAAAAGTATAAATAAAATGTACTTCATGCTTTTAACAATTTTATACCTTGGTTTGTTTCAAATAAATTGGAATATAGTAAATTACTTCAGTTTATTTTTAGTGAAAAGCTATTAAAATGGAAGACTATATGACTATTCTAAAAGCACCATTTTTCTCCACTCCTGCATTTTTTGTTCTGCTTCCTGATTTGATATTGTGAACAGTTTGCAAGCAAGAATACCGATCTAGTTTGATATTTTACACACACAGATTAAAATCATCACAAATACTCTTATCAGGATAGTGGTTGCCACTGAGAAGCGGGGAAGACAGAATAGATAGGGAGTAAAGTGGAGGCTCCAGAAAACCTGTAATTAATATATATATCCAAAGAAGGTATAATTAAAAATTTCAAGTTGAATGCTGGGTACATATATGCTGCTTATATTTCTGAAGAGTAGTGATAGATTTTGGACTGCTGGAAGAATGCTGGAATAAATCTTAGAAGAGAAGTAGAGTGCTTCTTGAATGGTGAGATTTTGTTTCACTTACTTTGGATACATTATCAGAGAAAGCTAACTGCTAGAAAATTACAACATAATTGGTCAATCACCATCAATCAGATGGGCTGCTACAATACCCACAACCATGAAGATGACAAAGGACCAGGAAAATTTTCATTCTGTTACATAGAAGGGTGTCATCAGTCTGACGTACCTCGAGGGCAGCTAACAATAAATTATAAATATTTCCCAATATTTTATGAGTAGGAAAGAGTTATTGTTAGGCAACAGTCAAGTTGCATATGACTCATTGTGACCCTATGGAAAAAAAAACACTAAACTTTGCCCTTTCCTGCTCCATCCTCACCATTTCCAATATACTCACCATTTCCTATATACTTGACCCGTTGTTACAGTCACTATGTCAATCTACCTCCCTGAGGGTCTTCCTCTATTTCTCTGACCCTCCACCTTTCCAAACATGATGTCCTTCTCCAAGGATGAGCTCCATCTAATGACATGCTCAAAGTATTTGCCTTTCTCTCCTTCAAGGATCACCCTGGTTGCACTTTCTCCAAAACATACTTGTTTGTTCTCTTGGCAGTCCATAGAATATTCAGTATTCTTATAGAAAACCACTCAAAACCATCTATTCTTTTTCTGCCGTGGCTATTTTTTGTCCAAATTTCAGATGCACAGCAAGAAATTGAAAAAGACGATGGCTTGAATCAGAACATCTTTGAGGGAAGCCGAATATCAAATTTAATAATAGTAGACCAAATGCTATTATCTGTTGGCCCCCTGTTTTTCACACTCTCTGTTCTATATCATTCCTGGTAGTCTGTCTCATTAATAATTATAAAATTATTTCATTCTTTGGGACCCTCGGTCTGCAACACATCTTAGTCTTTAAACTAGCATCATTGTTCCTTAGAACTTTGAAGAGGTCCTTGATAGCGATTTTTCCAAGGAAGCACATCTGATCTCTTGACTGCTGGTAGGTAGCAAGAGATCATGGATTCAGGCAAGAGTTAGGAGTAAAAATTGGTGATTCAGAATCTGTAAGAAAGACACATAATATCTCTATTCAGAGTCCTAATTCCAGACCCGCGTTGGAAGTATCATTTGCCGGAGAATTTCAGAGACCAAACCCAACTGATTCCTCATCTTTAGAGCATCAGCCTAATGCAGAATAAACACAGCCCCTTATTTCCCCCCTCCACAGATCTTCACTCTAAGTCCTCTCCCCCATTCCTGCCCTGCTTCCTTCCCCAAACCATACCCAAGCCTGCCTGTAAGACAGAACTTCTGCAGGTGACGTTACCCTAAGGTTGTTGTTGATTGCCGTTGAGTCCAGCATGACCTGAAACCTTTCTATAACTGTCCTTGTTTCTTCAAGTTCATAGAATTTCCAGATGCATGTGGTTTAGGAAATGGTTGCCACACCTGCTTCCAAACCTGTCTTAAAATGGGAGTTCCACCAAACACAGTCCACCATGGGCAACCATCAGGGCGTTTGACACCCCCCCTCCAATGGCATCAGCATCACAGCAAACCCAGATTACCTCAGCACAGCAAATTGACAAAAGAGTGCTGTACAACTTAGAAGTTCCTCCAAACTACAATAATACGAGGCCCTTGGACCCAATCGACTGTTAAACACAAGGGCCCTCCATATATATAAGATTTTGTTAAGTGCCGCTAGTCAAATACGACTCATAGCAATCCAATAACAAAAGACCTGAGTCTTATTCTAGAACTATCATCATTTCTCTATGTTCGTCGAGTTTCCAGAGGCATGTGGTTTAGGAAGTGTATGCCACTCCTGCTTCCAAACCTGAATCAATCGGGAGCTCCACTAAACACTGTCCAGAACAGTGGACATAATGGGTAGCCATGATGGTGTTTGACACCCACCCCTTAGCTAAGGAGGAGCCCAAATAACATTTCCCTCCCTCTTCTCCTAGTAAGCATCTAGTATGCAAGAAACTTTGCAGAGAGAATGAATGGCCTGGCGTCTCTGGTCTGGCCCCCAAATCCAGGATAGTGCTGAGGACAAGGTTACGGCAAACCAGAATCACCGCCTAACACGCGCCTCCCAAGGAGCGCAGGCGCCATCCAGCCCGGAAGCGCCTTCTTCCCAGCGCCTTCTTCCCAGCCCCTTCCGGCGAATCGCTGTGCGCATGCGCTCTGCAGCCTATGAGTTGTTGCGGAAGCGAAGTCCTGTGGTCCTGCTACGCCGCGCGGCTGGACGCGGTGGGCGGGGCGGAGGATGGAAGCGGTATTATCCGCTGCAACGGTTGGCACTCCGCGTTGAGACGGCTGTGTAAGCACCCCAGCTGGAGGCAGAGGCTCGCCGCTAGGTTTCATGAGGTGCGCTTCCTGAACTCCTGGGGAGACTCTGCCCATGGGCTCTCTGAGCAGCCGAGTGCTGCGCCACCGGGAACAAACCCCAGCCCAACCCGAACCGTGTTCCGGGTCGGGGGGCTCGGCCCGTGGACCCAGGACTGGCGGCGACGCAAACAGCCACAGCTTCTGTTACTGCCCAGGCAGACTCAAGCGCAAGCGGAGAAGCGGGGCCTTCTGCTACTGTCACCCCGACTCCGAAACGGACGAGGATGAGGAGGAAGGAGACGAGCAACAACGGCTCCTCAACACCCCGCGAAGGTAACTGGGGCGCGCGTCCCCCGGGCTCTCGCGCCTGCACCTGTTGGGCATCTGCGCTCCCTGTCTCTTGAGAACCTGGGGGCCACCCCAGCGCGTGGTGCCTGGGAAGTGGGGTGCATCGGGTTGCACAGGGCGGATGTGCGCTTGGCTGGGGAAGTAGGGGACACCGAAAGGGCAGCCCAATCTCGAGCAAATGAGGGAGCTCTTTGGGAGACACCCAGAGTTCAGAACGAGAAACCACAGACGCTGCCGCCGTGGTGTTAGAGCACCAATGTGAGACGTCACATAAAATCTTGGAAACGACCACCTGTTTGATCTTAATACTGCTTTATTTTCTTTGAGGAGGTGGCAGTGATATCGTTGCTTTAAAAGTTGTTTAGATTCCGCGGTGGGCAGGTACCCCTGTTGCTGACTTCTTAATGTTGTTGTTAATTACCATAGAGTCAGGACCGACCCTTGGCTGACACTCCAGCAGATTTTCAGAGGCAGTTAGTCGTATGAGAGGGGTTTGCCCTTTCTTCTCCTGCAGAGCAGCTGGTGGCCTCGAAAGATGTGCCTCCGGGATTGCAGCACAGCTTCTTGCCACTAGCCCACCAGAACTCCCTACTATTCTGTATACTATTAAAATTAAAATGTAATCAGCCCTTAGGTGCAGAAAATGCATACACATTCCACAAATAAAGAGATTGGCAAACTAATGGGTGATCTTAACCACAGAAATTTATGTCCCAGCTATTCATTCCAAACAAAGATGAAGGGCATAAAATAATTACAAATAAATATGACAGACATGGATTTTCAGACTATGCTGACCAATTTAAAAATACTTTCAGACCACCTGTCTGTTCAGGAAAGGACCTTCCAAACGCGGCGGGGGGAATCTTTGCTTTGGTGTGTGTAGAGATTTAGCAGATGTAAAGAGAGGCTGGGAGGAGGGAAATATGTGATCTCACCTGAACCACAACTATTTATATGGGCGATTTATGTTAGCAAAACTAGGTGGAAATATTTAAGAGGCTAGGAATGAATAAAACCCATTTGTAAGACACCAGAGGAACTATCTACCAGGCATTCAAAAAAATTACCATCCTCTGTGTATATGTACACACAAACTTTTGCCACTGATATATTTTTCATTGTTTTCAGTCACTTTAACAGCAGTTTTAACCAGTCCAATTGGACTGTACAAGTGACTTTATGTTACTTCTCTCTTGGAATTTCATCATGTAACAGAACTTACATCTGGTACATTCTACAGAGAGTGGAAGGGAAATCACACAAGAGGCGCCTTAAGTGTAAAGGTGACTTATCAACAGGGTACATTTGTTCCTGGACTAGTTTTTTTTCCTTGCCAGGTCTTCAAAGTCATTGACCACGAATATATGTAAGGCTGTGCTGCAACTAAATTAACTTTATTTAAAGTGCTGACACATGAAATACGTACTTAATGTATCAACTAGAATGTAGTTTGTAAGTTAAATGTATGTTCACTTGAAGGATCTGGTTCCTGTTTTTAAATAGGCGATTGTGGAATCATATGGATGTAATCTCATAAATGACACTTTTTAAAAAGTAATTAAAAAATGAAAATCACCACTTTTACAACAGTTTGTGCTCACTTCATGCCTGTGTGCCATATTTTGGTAATTCTCACAATATTTCAAACCTTTTTGTAATGATAGTGCACACTTAGTAGACTGTTGTTACTGTATGCTGTGGAGTTGGAACCAACTCAGCTGACCCTCCAGAGAGATTTTGGAGACAGTAAGGGAGGAGATTGTCCTCCTTTCTTCCATGCAGTACCTGGTGGATTCGAACTGTGTTTTGCAGCACAGGCCCTTTCGACTAGGCCAGCAGAGCTCCCTTAATAGATAAGGCCATAGTGTAAACATAACTTTTACATATACTAGGAAACCAAGACATGTGCAGCTCACTCACTTCATTGCAGTGATCTGGAACAGAACCTGCAGTAACTCTGAGTTATGCCTGTACATAGGGAGGCCTGGTGTCTTTCGTGGTAAGGAGTTGCGTGCTAACCCAGAGGCAGCCAGTTTGAATCCACCATCTGCACTGTGAGAGGAATATGGTCAGTCTCTTTACATGTGATTTACTGCCTCTGAAAACCTGCTAAAGGGTCAGCTTTTGGTAGGTTCCAATTTGATGACTATAGATAATACCTGTAAGTCAGAATGAAGAGTACCCAGTACCTGGTTAATAAACACTCAGTCATCTTGCTGTGCGCAGCTCCTAGACTAAAAGGGGCCTCTCTTGGCCTAGGGATAAGGACATGTGCTTCTAAACCAAAGGAACACAGTTTGAATCCACAGATGGAAAATCTCTCGTGTGATTAACTACTTTTGAAAACCCTCTATGAGTTGTATCTGACTCAGTGGCAGATAACAACAAACTAACCTAAATGTTTAGTACCTAGTGCGTGCATGTTCCATGGCTAACCGAAAGGTCAGAGGTTCCTCAGGAGGAAGATGGTCAGTCTCCTCTCATCAAGTTTTTCAGCCTTGGAAACTCTGGAGGTTCTGTTATGTTCCTACTCATTGGCAGTAAGAATTTTTCCCTGGTATTGGAAACATTTCTGCTGTCTGTTGATTTGAATACTCTTTTTCATTCTTTTTTTTTTTTTTTTAAATTGGGAAAAACATATTGGGAGTACAAGGAGGTGAGGGTTGGGGGCAGAAGGGTGAGGATGGGCCAGGCTGCAGTTGAAGAGCTGCACAGTTTGGTCTGTGGGGGGAGAAGGTGAAGAAGATGATAAGGGTCCAGTGGGGATCATATGCTACAGAGGAATGACAAACATTAAACCAACTGTCTTATTGATTTGGGAATTGGATGCCGACTCTCTGGCTTCTTCATGCTAAACAGGGGCATAGATGTAAAGGGGGGGAGGGAGGACACTTTATCACCTTACTGGTGGTCTTGGGTTAAAGCTGCTTGCCTTCTTGCTCTGTTAGAAGATACCTTCCTGTCATTTGCTCCCCTCTGGACTGCAAAGTGTTTTCCCAGGTGAGTCCAGTGGGAATGGCTGGTTGAACCCAGAGGCTCC